GCTCAAAGATTGTTAAATAATACATCATCCCTATGTCCTTGAGACAAGGATCTTAACTCCAGGAAGTGGTTCTTTCTATCAATATTTTGTGCATGTAACACAGGTTAGCCAGGCCATACTACAAACTCAACAACAACTTTTAATCTGACATAATAAAGCCAAATTGTGCTTTCTTTAAAATGTTTTACATTATTTTGAACTTAAGATACCTGCACAGCAGCAAGTTTTATCTTGAAGCAAGACTTAAGTTACAGCTCACTTCATTTGATGTAGATCAAATGTACAGCAAAGTGACATGGCTTTATACCTAACACCAATTCTTCAAGAAATGGCACAACTAAATGTTAATTTAATATGCTGAGATTTTGGTATATACTAAAACAAGGAATTACCTGAAAAGAGCTGGAATGAGCTGGAATGACCAAGAATGACCAAGAATTACCCGAGAATGATCCATAGAAATGATTTTGGATTGAATCTCCATATACTTGATTTTAACTTGCTAGACAAACTCTTTATATTTTTCCGCCATTTTCTCACTCAGTTGGAAAAGGCTGATGGGATATTAGCCACAGGAAGCCTGATAAAATATTTATAATGCAAATGACCTCATGGGGCAGAATACAATGCATCAGGGGATAGGATATTTCCCGCAAAATCTCCAGCATCATGGCGGAAGAGTTTGATTTCTCGCCCCTAGGAGGTAGGATTATTAACTAGTATATATATTTTGTAGACTACTTACTTAAATTATGAACTCAGTAACATCACATAATAACTGCGCCACACTGTGAGCCATATTGTTCTGTTTTTGACCTAATGATTTAGTAGTGAAACGTGTTGTCTTCCATTCCACGTCACGATTTCCCATTAGGATTCAACTCGGCCGCCATCGTGAAATATTGTATCGGGCTTCCTGTGGCTACTATCCCATCAGCCTTTTCCAACTGAGTGAGAAAATGGCAGCAGGACGTAAAGACTTTGTTTAGCAAGTTAAAATCAGGTATATGGAGACAAATTCAATCGAAAATCATTTTTTATGGATCATTCTTGAGTCATTCTTGGACATTCTTGGTCATTCTTGGTCATTCTTGGTCATTCCAGCTCATTCTGGATCATTCCAGCTCTTTCCAGGTAATTCCTTGCTTTAGTAACTACCCTGAAATTTTAACTATTCAATAAAGGTCTTCATGCAGATTTACCAATACTAAAATAAACTATATAGCGGCTTCGTGACAAACATAAATTCATCAAGGAATAGGTATAGTAGCCAATCCTTTGAATCCTACTGAAGATTACTCTTTCTCTTTGTCAAAAATATTGTTACAGATTTGCCTGTACCTAAATGTTTGTCATAGAGGGTTTACATCTAGGACACGTTCTTCAAAAAATTGATACAGCAACTTTTCTTTTGAATCATATTGTAGATTAAAACAATAATAAGTTGACAGTGACAACAACAATCCCTTTACAAGGATGATTATCCTAGCTGGTGTATGACTATAATTCTGTCAACTAGTGGTTTATATTTAGTGTGAGATTCTTTACTCTGGTTCGGTAATTTTTCGTACAACAATCACATGATTGTAAGTAAAAAATTACAAATGGTAGCCGTTTATATTCCATGCTTGTTCTTCTGGAAGTTATAAATTTATGATTAATTTTGACAACCACTTTGATTGTCATTTGAAATTAAAAATTTTTGCAAATTACATGCAACAAGGATATTCCTAATTAACAAATGGTAAACACCACAGCGTACACTATTGAGTTATGGATGCACGCGGGAGGTTGCTAAGCACGAAAGAAGCGTAAGAGTCGCTCGAGGCGATAGCCGAGAGCGACTCTAGCTTCTTGAGTGCTTAGCAAACCTCCCAAGTGCATCCATAACTCAATAGTGTACGCTGTGGTGTTTACCATTTGTTTTATAACATAACATTGATACATTGTAGCTAAAGAGTTCCCTTTTATTTAACAAATCTTACGTGACCAGAAAAAACAAGCGCGCGCGGAAAAATAGTCTTTGCATTTGCTCACGTCAGCAGCGTACACCCATGGGCAAATGGGGGACGCTAAATTGACCAATCAGAGCGCGCGCTTTACTTTGGTTATGTTATAATGGTAGGTTCGTGAAATCAAACTCAAAGAGTTAACAAAGATATTACACCTTATAAGCCGGTTACAAAATTCGCCAAAGTTGCGAAAAAACCCATGTTAGTCAAAAACGAAAATGGAACTGAGCATTGAGACCGAACAAACTTCTTTCTCCCCTCAAGATCCTAATTAACAAATGGTAAACACCACAGCGTACACTATTGAGTTATGGATGCACGCAGGAGGTTGCTAAGCACGAAAGAAGCGTAAGAGTCGCAGCGTACACCCATGGGCAAATGGGGGACGCTAAATTGACCAATCAGAGCGCGCGCTTTACTTTGGTTATGTTATAATGCTTTACATTTAGGGTAAACTAGGAACACTCAAAACTGTTGTCTTGTTTCATGAATCACAGATATTGAATGTGTTGAAAGAAGAATTAATGTAAAAAAGTTTTTCAAATTATATTTATAGTTATTTTTCCTTGGGAATTTGACAGGCACAATTCCACAGATATATCTGAAATTTTGGCACGCATTTATCATAAATCTAGTTGGAAGAAGAACCTTTCTACATAGAATGAATACTTGTTAAAAGCAAGGATTTGAGATATTTATTCAATAGTAGACATACCCTTAAAATGAGAATTGAAAGTCATAATTCTTAAAACAAGGAATGTAAATCTTATTTTTAATGGTGGTATTCTTAAACTGAGGAACTTTCAATGGAGAGTATAAAATTTTTAAAAGCAGAAATCTTAATCCTTACATTTCAAGGAATTGACTCTCAAAATAAGGAAAGAAGTTCTTGTTTTGAGTATCCACTGACTTACAATAAGAATTCCGAAAAAAATAAACTTTAGAGTGGTGTGAACATCTTTGTACTTGTTTTCATCCTCGTGCTAATAAGTATCTCAGAAGTGCGAGACAGGCTTCAAGCGCAGTACTCAGTTGCAACACAAGCATTGGCATTAACATAACAAGCTAATGCGCAGGTGCATGCGCACAGCTGCAACATAAACATGAGCATAAGCGTTCAGTCGATGTTATGTTAAATAGGGACATGGTTGGTATGAGAAGTATAGTGCTTGCTGATTGCCTGAAAGTCTTTCGCTTATGTTAATCCTTACGCTTATGCAAACCAAGTCTTAACTAGACAGTATAAGCATAAAAAGAAGGAAATAAGCATAAAAAGAAGGTTTTGATAATCATATGCATATTATGCTTATTCTTATGTCCGTGCGTTCCATCCAGCGCATAAGCTTTTACATGCCTATCCTTATGCTTGCATCGCAAGTTAATACTGAGCTCAATATTGGAACAATAGTTTTATGATAAACAAAACAGCACCCTTTTGAACTTTCATCCCACAAACCTTTACAGTAAAATCTAGAACAGTGATTGTCTTGCGCTAAATCCTAATCTGGCCATATTTTCTCTCTTTGAGGCCTAATTTAGTTTCACATCATATTCCTCATAATGCTCAATTGCCAGTCTAACGATTCATACCCTAGTATGGAAATCAAACACCCATTTCTACTGACCACACAAATTGCATTGGCTCATCCAATTCACGAGTTGGCTCACAGAGCCTTTGATTTTCTCTTTATAACACTCATATACCACAGTGCTTGCCTCTCCCAGCTGAGGCTTGGGTTCTACGATAGGACCTACACTGTTTGCCTATTTTATTTTCTATCTCTAAATCTACTTACCTCTGTCTTTCTATAGAGATGTTTTCGTATCTGTCTTCCTTTCTATTTATTCATTTGCCTATATACGAATTAAACATATTTTCATGAAAAGTTCCTGAATTAAGGTGCGTTCTAAATATCCTTTGTTTCTTTAGAAACTACGATTCCAAAAGCTTGGTGAATGGAAAAACGAGAATGATAAAAAGACCAGAGAATCTTGTGAAAAGCTCGTTAAAAGGCTGAGGAAAAAGCACTTAGATCCAGTCCTTCAACGAGTAAGTGGACCGGAAGGAACAAATGTGTCTTTTAAGGATATTGATGATGGATGTGCAGTTCTTGAATTGGAATATAAGTCTCAAGCTGTGGGTTCCAAAGATGTCCGTGCTAAAGTGTTACATGAATTTCACCAGGTAAGTGACAGTAAAGCGCATTATACCATTAATAGAAATAGTTCTTGCGTCGCGCTATTCCAATAGTCTTATATTAGAAAGCAACTTATTCACCTCTCAATCTATTTAGTTATAATTACTATTTCTTCTTGATCAACCTATTCATTTTTCGGTAGCAATTTCAAATCGAGAGGGAACGATACAAGGACGTCCTGAAGACACTGAAAGACTACAATGAAACTCTGCTTCTCATACGTCTCCAAAACACTAAGGCGGAAAAAGAGAAAGAGGATCTCCGGGTAAGTATCTATACCTATTACATTTCTAAAGCGTTATAACAAACTTCCAGGAATAAGATAAGCTGAGTGGTGTTCTCCTCTTTTATAGACAGCCAACTTCCTCTCCACATAACGTGAATATCATCCCATCGAACAGCATTGAACCTTAGCTGGCTCTCTTGTATAATTTTTGTTCTTTTTCGAATGTAGAAGCAGAATGATTATTTGAAACAAGAGATGAAAATTCAAGAAGATAAGGTAAACAACTTTGAGAGTTAAACTTACTTAAATATAAAGTTTGTCTATGATAGTATATTTGTGAAAAGCCCACGCTGTTTTACAATAAAAAGTGGTGTCCTACATTTCCTCAAAGGGTTACTAAAGAATGATTCTGCACTTATATCATTTTTGGACAAATTGTTTAATATTGTATCAAGGTATATCTACTTTGAGCAATCAAGAATAAACAATCCTCAAACATTTGAAAACTTTTAATATAAGCTTGAACAGTGTAGAGTGAATGTTCGATTTGATCTGTTTTAAAAAACCCGTTTTATGTGTTTCAATCTGTACAATGTGAATCGTATCATCTGGCTCGTATCACTTGGCTAGATGATCTGACTCTTAAAATCTGGTTTAGCTCGGTTTGAAAAATCTGAAGGCTAGCCGGAAACGTGACATAAACGAAATCGAGCACATGGCATATACCATAATACTCAAACGAACCCAGTACCTCGCGGGTGAGGCAAAAACTAAATATGACGTATTACAATCAATAAGTACTGCTGCAATAACTCATTTACGAAGAAAAAAAATGGCGAACTTACGGAAGGCATCCTAGAAGATATGATTTCTTTCACTATTCTTGAGATTTGGCTGGAGTAACGGCTAATAATAATTATTATAATAATAATAATATTATTATTATTATTATCATATTATAGTAACGGATGACAATCTACTTCAAGATACTCCTAACGCAAAAGAATGCAGTAGACCACTTCATTTTCATAAAGAACTATTGACATTATACCCTTTGAATATCTCCCCATAATTGTTATTTCCTTTAAGGCCAGTACTTATCTACAGTCTATTCTCTATCTGTTATCAGATAAAAGAGTTAGACCGCAAAAGAGCCATTGAGCTTCAAGAGAAACTCGAAGAATTCCAAGCAAAAGAAAGTATTCTCAACACTAAAATCCACGACTTGGAAAAGGCAGGGATGAAAGACAAGATCACCGGCTTAGAAAGGGAACGCGATGATGCCAAGGAAGACAACGAACGGTGGAAAAGGGAACTAGCGAGTGTAAAGAGCAAGTTAGCTGATTTGACAGAGCAACTCAGACTTTTAAACCGACCCTGGTGGCAGCGATGGTAAAAAAAATCCAAGTGAGTTACCCAAAAAACTGCTGAGTTATCTTCGGTTTGTCCCCACAGGCTGGGGGTAAACCCACAGAATGTTCATGTGATTTTGCATTTATTTGAAATAAGGTCTTTTGCGTACATTTAGAGGAAAATGATAGTAGTAGGATCGTCCTGAATGAATATTAACTTACTTTCGACCTGTCAAAAAACACTTTTCTCAAACATATGGATGGAAATCTATTTCAAAGTTCATGATTGTCACATCTGAGAGAATCTTTACGGGAAATCGGAAAGTTTTCTGTTTTTACTTAGTTCTGTAGCCATCCGTTTAAGAATTTTAGTAGGCTTGATTCGCGATGATTTCATTGGGTTTAGATCCTAATCGTGTAGATTGTCAGTAGTAGATTCATTTAGTGTTGATTAGAAGGTGAGATATACCTTGCGTTAATGTACTGTTGTCCTTGTATAAATTCCTGATAACAACTCACCAGCATATTTCGTGCGATAGACTAGCATCCGTGCTATTTGATTTGTCTACTTGTCATAAAGCACATACTCATAGTGCCTTGTTACAACCCCGTCAATTTGCAAGCGGTTATGTACCATCTTGATTTATAATAAAGTTTGGGTATAATATTGCGTGCTGTCACTGCATGGTTGAAAGAGCATGCTTTATCAGACTACAAATAAAGCACGGAACTAAACCAAAGCTCTCTCGCCATCTCCCAATTTTTAACATGTCTAGCTTTTTTTCGATTCCTTAATTAAAAATGAAATTTCGGATCAAGCGATCCGCCAATTAGCAAAAAAAGAACCAAACAAAGGTTCGTAAACATGCGAAGCGCCGTAGTTTACATAATTATAAAGCAGGTGGAGACAAAAATCCTCAATGAGGAAACGAATTAGACAGTCTGTGTTTTGAAGGTTTTCAGTTTCATTTAGAATGTAAGCTTACGCACGGTTATGAAAATCTAACACACCTAACACTCGCATAGTATATGTTCAAAAACAAAACTGAAAAAACCAGGAATGATGAAAAATATAACCAAACTGGCAGAACTGTTAAAATTCGTACAAATCATGACGGTGTCAGTGCGACTGCGATCATACTGAGGTCCACTGCGGCTAGCTCATCGTGGCGATTTCCAGTCATCTCAGTGAAGCAAGCCTCAGAAATTACATCTCCAGAAGTGGGCAGAAACACTCGACTACGTCTTGAAGGCTTAAATGTAATAACTGTCCTACATGTATTTAAGTCCTAAACACGCTGGTTACTGGACCGGCGATTTCCTCCCATTAGCGCGGGCTCCATAAGTAGACAGCGGATTAGTTTCTTCGAACTGCGCGGGTTCATAAATTAGCAGCGGATTCACGTCTGAGAAAAAAAAATGGCGGAAAAAGAAATTGATCTGGGTGAGAACAAAGGGCAAACTGAGCGTGACGAGAGTTTTTGGAACCGGTCTGTTATTCTATTGAAGTCGACAGTCCAACCGCAATGGCTAGAAATGGTCCACAACGCAAAAAGGAAGCCAAACTATGGAATGCGTGGCTTAAATGGCGTTATGGAGGAACGAATGCTCAACAAAATCGAACTAGTTGGCCCCGTCGTCGATTCCTACGTGAAGCACATGGGGAATCTGATTTACAGCAAATTAGCAAGGTCAAAGAACACTGGGCTGATGTCTCCAATAACGCTATTCATTCCGTGGCCCATTTTTCGTCATATCTGCGTTTTAGTGGTTGGGTATGGTGGTGACATGAAGACAACTACCCTCAAAATCGTTTTAACGTTGTCCTCTAACAATACTGCTAAAAAAGTGTTTTCGCCAGTTAGGATGAAAGGCACAAACTGTCTCAAGAAACGAGTCTACAAGTCTGTAATGCATAAAGGGAAAAGAGTAAGCCTGTTGAATGGGAGAGCTGCCGTTGTGGTAACAGATAAG